ATCGACAAACGCATAACAGACGTGCGATAGGTTAGTCAAAGGTGTGTACCCGCTCTAACAATGCAATGAGAACTTCAATTACCAATAAACAAGAAGACTAAGAGCAACCTGATGATTTATTATTTGTTATTTAAAAAAAGTAATAAATCAACTGATTCGGGTCTTCGTAATTTTTACTCATGTTAATTAACTAACGAAGTTACAATTTATATTTTTTGGTAAAATATTTTATAAAGCGAATGTTTTAATAGAATAATTTTATAAACGAAAATTACAGTGAATTTTATCAAAGTATAAATAGTTTGTCTTTGTCAATATTATATTTTTTAAACATAATTTTGTAAAACTGTTAAATATTTTCGATTATTTGAAATTAATGATGAAAAAGGTAAATTTTTGACAATTTTCACCAGGAAATTACCAGACAATCTTATCGCGTCTATTCATCGTTTCTTTTCACTTCGTAAAAACGTTGTATTAATAAATGTGTCTTAAGATTTTCGTTCCTTTTGAAAGAGATTTTATCAAGAATAAATTCTTAAGCAAATAAATATAAAAATTTAATTTTTTTTCTTTTCTATATCTATACTAATATAATAAAGCGTAAACACACACTACTTCGTGGCGTAATATGTCAGCAATTACAGCATTTTTTTGAATTATTCTTTCCTAAATAAAAAGCCTTGCACTTACGAAACGCTTTAGGATATATATTTTCACGTTATTAAACTTAGGGGTCAATAAATTGAAAAAAAAACCTTCATGTGGGATAGGGACTATGAACTACAAGCTGCCAACATTAAGGAAGCAATTATTGTGGTAACGGTAGTTATGACATTTGCAATTGAGAATTTGACAAATGTAAACAATAAGATAAAGTTTTTATAATTACATGCGGATGAAGCCACACGGGAACAGCTAGTTTTACATATTTCGTTAAGTTCGTATATTAATCTAAATCGTAATTTACATAAAATTAATGCGAAACAACCCTTACATTTGAAGCTACATTGTATAATGTTAACTAAATATTAGGCTCCACTGATTACATGTATTTCAAGATTCCAAGCATATTAATTTAGAACAAATATTAAATCTTTATAATAGCCAATTATGACACTAATTGTTATATAACAATCAGTAGCAAGACATCCATATTATAAAGAGGAAAGATTTGTATTTTTTTTATTGAAATAACTCAAAAACTACTGGGACGATTTTAAAAATTCTTTTACCGTTAGAAAGGTAATTTATCTGTGAGTAACGTAGGCTATTTTTTTAATCTCACGAGAACGGAAGTTGAGAGCAACAGCTAGTAGTTATTATTTGCGAAATTAAATGAATATTTTGTAATTGTTTCATCAGACGAAGGGGAAGAAATGCCCACAAATTGGCGTCCAATACTACAATCAATAGAAGCAATATAGAATAATCTACTTAACGTCTGTATTCTGTGACAGTGACTATGTGTGACGCTATTGAGGCCAACTTGTTGGCCAACTAGTTGGCCTAAATAGTTACATTTTCCTTTACCAGTATATTGTGTACTAGCTGTTGCTCGCGAATCGCTCGCGTGAAATTTAAAAATAATAAAAAACATAGCCTATGTTACTCACAGATAAATTACCTTTCTAATGGTGAAAAAAAAATTTAAAATCGTCCCAGTAGTTTTTGAGTTATTTCAATACATACAAAAATACAAATCTTTCCTCTTTATAATATTATATTGTGTATATATTATAGTTTTAAAATTATTATTATAGTGTCATGCCTTTTGGCATTTCTGAAACAAGTATGCACTTGTACGTGCCAACTCAGTCGGGTACAATATAATTCTTTTGACAGATAACATCATGCACTTCGCGGTATCGAATCGCTCCGAATCCGCGGCAAAAATCAAACCTGAGGAAACGGAGCAGAGAGATATTAGCGTCATTGGAGAAGCACAGGAACCTCCCAAAGTTGAAATGTAATATAAGGCCTGACGTACACTAGTTAAGCATACTGCACAGTACACACAGACTCACATTACAGCGAAATCACACACATAAGCACCACGGAAATGGACGACGTTTCGTATCAAATAGCGGATTGTCGTCCAAAAAAGGATCAGCGATACACTCCGAACCTTTTTGTTTCATAGAATACGCAGTGTCCTCGAGTCGAAGTGTGTGTCTAGCCTAATATTACTTTGTTTTTCTTAGAATTCACAATATTAGGAGCTGTCAATATAGTTCAAAAGATATTAGAAGCTTTCTTCGCTTGAAGGCTTACTGAAAATGTCGTCACTTTTTTCCTTATACTCACAAAAATAGTCTATAGCAAAAATCAATAATTTTATAGCACGTTATTAGATAAGTTTTAATAAATATTGCATTTGCTTGTAAGTTATATATTATTCAATGTTTATATATGTAAGTTGTATTATTTTCTGTATGTAATTCTTTCACGTAATTAATAAAACATGAAAAATTTAAACGATGCGTTTTATTGAAACTTTTACTGTTTTAATAATAAACATTTAATCAGCTCAAAAACACTTAGCAAAAGAATTAGAAATCGGTAGCCAGTAATAGACCGAAGTGGAAATTGCTTGACCAAGCCAAGACCCACGAAGAACTGTAGACCAAAGGAAGAAAAAGAAAAAGAATAATACTTAGCAACATATATTTCATCATCATCACTAGCTCACTATACGTCCCCACCGAGCGGCTCTTGCCTACCCTAATAAGGGGTGAACATATAAATACATTTGAACAAAAAATACAAGCAAGGAAAAGTAACAACTATTAATATCATCACCAGCTCACTATACGTCCCCACCGAGGGGCTCGGAGCCTACCCTAATAAGGGGTGACTAGGCCATAGTCAACCACGCTGGCCCAGTGCGGGTTGGTTGACTTCACACATATCTTTGAATTTCTTCGCCGATATGTGCAGGCATCACGATGTTTTCCTTCACCGTAAGAACGTCGGCTAAATTATGTACATATGAAAATTCGAAAAATCGAAAATCACATTGGTAAGGCGGGATTCGAACCCAAGACCTATAGATTACAAGTCAAGTGTTGAAACCACTGAGCCACCGACGCTCTATTAATATCACTTCTTACTAATGTAAATGCGTAAGTATGTATGGATGGATGTTTATTATACGTTTCTTGAAATCGACTCTATGGATCTCGGATATTTCCCACACAGAAGTATTTTCAAAGATCTACTAGTGAAGTCATTTTAAACATAAAAATTAACATGAATTAACTTCCGAAAACCGCGAATATATGATATTTATTGAAAGTTATTTTTAAAATTATACAAAATCAATCAACAAGGAATTTCATTAAAAAAAATCTTACTTAAAATATGATTAAATTAAAATTAATCAAAATGTTCATTTTAGAGTTATATGAGCGTGGTTTGAATATAGGTGTCTAAGTTGCAACTAAAACTTTCCATTATTAAATGTCTCAGACATGGAAGTTGGTAACAAGTTGCTTGTGACATTACAGAGTTTATAATTGTTTACAACTTTATGATACATTTACATACTAAAAGACATCTTATAAGTTATAATAAGTAATATTCTATGTTAGTTAAATTGTTTTATCTGACATTATGAAGATTGCAGCAAGAACAAATAATACCAGAATTTAAGAGTATGAAATGAAGGACGTGTTATCCTTTTCGTTCTGCTTAAAATCGAGAAAACAGTATGTTTTCTAATGTATGTTGACAATGGTCACAATAATCATACTTAATACTTCTTACTAATATTATAAATGCGAATGTTTAGACGGATGGCTATATGTTTGTTAGAGTTTGTAGACCAAACGGCTGAACTGTTTTTGATGAAATTTGGTACAGATGTAGAGGATAGTCTGGAAGAACACATAGGCTACTCACTTTTTTTTTTAATTCCACGCGGACGGAGTCGCGGGTAAAAGCTAGTAAGGAGATAAAAGTAACGATGTTTTGTTTGTTGAATCTACAAATTAGTGGATTGTGTTCTAATTAATTCCCATTTCCCGCTGTAATTGCCCTCTTTGTTCCTTACTTGTCAGTGACAGATATCTCACCTTGACCTTCTTAATTGTTTTGAAATTTCAGTTTATTTTTGTTACTAATTAAAATGTCCGAACATTCAATATTAAAAGGGAATAATAAAAGTAATGTTACAAGCAAAAAGTTTCCGTTTAGTAAGGAAATACTAAATTTTCTAACAAGGTCTATAAGTTTCCGTGAAAGGGTCGAAAGGGAAATCTTCTCTAATACGCCATATGTTGCGATTCCCGATGACTATACTACTAATTTTTTCTCATCTTACAATCTTACAAAATACTATAAATGTGAAAGTTAAGATGGATGTTTGTTAGAGTTTGTAGCCTAAACGGCTGAACGGATCTCGATGAAAGGCATAGATGTAGAGCATAGACTAAAAGGACACAGACTAATTGCTTTTTTTTCTTTTTAATTCCACAACGTCGGATTCTATTTTTTTTATTTCTCAATATGTTTGTGAGTCAATAACTTTGTTGAACTAAAAACATTAACTACTTATTACTGTTTTCTAAACATGTACTTTATTTTTTTAATTCCACAGTTCAGTCGCAGACTTTTTTGACATGCAGACAGATGTTTTTGACATGCAATATTAATTACAAACAGAGCTATAATACATAACAACCAATAATTATGTATGTTTTGATTTGATTTGAAACTATTAACTATATGTTAAGTTTAAATAAACCCATGTGAATATTTATGTAAATGATCTTTAGACATCTGTAATTATAAATTATACTATCAAAATCGAACATTCTAGAAGTTTCTAAATTCCAAACTATGAGATTCTACAATATTGAAATTATTTTTTATGATAAATAGATTGATTTACATTCCATATTATTTGAGAACGTGCTCACTACTTTTAAGATAACTTTTCCTACAATTTAATCACAGCAAATTTGCATAATAGATTTTTTGCATAAAAGTTTTAACAGGCGTTAAGTTTGCATATTTTTGAATAATCTAGTGATTTATAAGAAAATTGCTCATTAATAAAATATTGGTTATCAACGTAAAAATAAAACACAAATAAAAAACATTATAAAACTTTTATTACACTTAAAAGTACAAAGATATTTACAAATTTTACACAAAAATTTAACTTAATTTTTATCAATATAACTTAAATTTAAACCCAAACTTATTATTGGTAACCAACAATCTCGCATGGTAACTTTCGGTAACTATTTTTACATAAATAATACTCTTTAAAGGCTTTCTAAAAGAATGTAATAGCTTATTTTTAAATAAACTTTAAGTACTTAAAATGAGAAATTATAATTTTACTAACCTTGGTTAGTAAAAATGTTTTTGACTGTATTTTAAAACTAGAATTTTGGACGGAATTTAATTAAGAATAATTTCAGCTAGATTATATTTACAATTTTAGATAATTTTTAAACTCGATAGTAGTAGATAGAATTTGAATAATATATATTTTTTTAAGTGGATGTGTAAATTTTTTTAGGTTAGTCATTTTTTATTGTGATTTTTGACCGACTTCCCAAAATAAGGAGGCGCTCAATTCGTCTGTATTTTTTTTTCTTATTCACTTTGAGCTCTAGTCTTTAAATCTAAACTTACAATAAAATATTCATACATAAATCTTATAAATTCTTCTTAACTATCGTATTACTGTCAATTAGTTGCTTAGAACTTTTTAATAAATCACTAGAATTGTCGAGCAATTTATCCATACGTCTACTTTGTAAGTAATCGACTAGCCAATTAAAACTGCGCCTTATTACAAACGCTATAAGAACTGAAATAGTAATTAAAAGAATGAAGAAAGCGAAAGCAACATCTAAAAGGTAATACTGGAAGAAGTTGAGGTCTTTGGCTGGCGACAATAAATGATACGCTCCTTTGTGCCTAATTACATATTCCGTCCAATAGATGGCTCTCTCTAATGGAGTCTCTTTCTGATCTCTTAGTAATATTTGTCTCTTTTTCACTTCAATTTTGTATTTAGGTTCAACAATAACTTCTTTGATAGCTCTGTACAGTTTATCAGAAGTGAGATATTGCAGGTCTAGTATTTTAGCGTAGCCGTCGACTTCAGCTTTCGCTGCGTTAGCTTCATGGTCGCAGAAGACGGGAATGGATACGATGGGCACGCCGTGGTATACCGTCTCAAACATACTGAGTAGACCACCATGAGTCACGAATGCCTTGATCCTTGGGTGACCTGGATAGAAAGAAAAATTAAATTGGATTTAGTAGACGCCGGCTCGCCCGGTGCAATACCACACCCACACAGAAAACAGACATGAAGTGGTAGCAAGTCCGCGTTTTGTCTGATGAACGTGCGTACCAGAGTCTTCATTTTAGTCCCTTTTCCCTTCTCATCTTCTTATTAGGAAGGCGAAATATTCCATTTCGTCTGTAATTGTTGCTTATAGGCAGTTGTACTCGTTTGCCACTTTGTAACAAACTAGCTGTCGCGACTCTGGCTGCGTGAAATAAAAAAATAGTAAAAAACGTTATTCAGTGGTAACATAGTCTTTTAACGGTGCCAGAATGTTTGAAATAGGTCGAGTAGTTTTCGAGTTATTTAAATACATACAAAAAACCCAAAATACCAAACTTTCCTCTTTATAACATTAGTATAGAAGTGTAAATATTATCTAAAAACTATGTTTTCTGCGAATACTTTGATATTACGTCACAGTACTATCAGGTCAGTAGCGAAATCGGTTACTTGGCAGCTTGGCACCGCTATGATATAACATAACCGCTAAATATGTATAACGGGTTTTTAACACCATATGCGTGAGATATTTTCATCATTAGATAACATTTGTGTCAACAAACTAATAACAGTACATTTCCATGGCAAAAAACTGTCTAAAAACACTGTTTTCTTTGTTTTTAATGTGAGTTAAAGAGATAATAACTTTTATATCTATCTGTTTTGCCGTGAAAGCCAACTACAATCAAACTTTTTATCAAGATTCAAAATTCTTGATTATGGTGACGGTTTTATTTTTTTTCGGCCGAACACTAAAACGACATATGCATATAAAGCGTCTTAAAACTTCAAATTCCAGTTAAACTATCAGATTTTAGATATGTTTACGACGCGAAATGTTTAATTTTCGTATCAGTATTCGGCTGTTAGAGATCCTCACAGATGTATTTAAATATTTCGTACACCTAATCGAAGTTTAGGAAACAATGCATTACTGTTCCCCGCACCTAATCCTACATTCATTGAACGTTGCAAACTAAATGCTCATGTTAATGCAATTTGTTCCACTCCGTCGCTCTTTTGGTAAAATTTATTAATCTTGATTTTTTGACCAATTACTCAAAAGAAGGAGGTACTCAATTCGTATGTATGTTTTTTGTATGTGTGTTACAGCATAACTCCGCCGCTAGAGGACCGATTTTGCTAATTCTTTTTTTATCCGAAAAGTACTTGCAGGTGGGTCCCACTTTTTGGTTGATTTTTGAAGTCAAAGAGTAGTAGTAGTTAAATAGTTTATGCTCAAAATCGCGCGACAAAATTTGTGGTATTTTTTTGCTTTTTTTTCTTATATATATACAGTATAGAGTATAACTGAGTCTTTATAATGTTTTGCGAAATTGTATACAATATGTTTCAGTACATTCTCCGTATTCGTCCTCCAAAGAACGCAAAAACACAAACTAAACCATTCTACATATTGTCAGATATTTACAGATAAATAGAACTGAGGGATTATCAGGAATATAGGTGTGATCGTTTTCGTAACGTAGCGTAAAATAAATATTACATTTGTACAGCGCCCCTACCGGTTGTAAAGTACATCAAGTAATCTATTAAAATTTATGTCGTTGACGATACGAATACATTCTCGCAACTGATACACAAAATTCGTGGTCGCCCCTCTGAGTTGCGTTATTAAATTTTGTCTGTCGACAATAAATTTATTTAAATTCAATAGACTAGCAATACGTGGAATAATTTTCAAATAGTTTAAATTGGATTCTTTAACATTAAAAGACTTTATTGTCTACAATTAACTGTAAATAGCTTTATAGAACAACACAAAAGTTAAATGGATATTTCGAACGATGTATGCAGAATAATTTAATTGAAAAATGTTAATAATCGGAAAGGAATTATTATGAACAACTAAATTAATAATCCATCAAATGGCTTATTAACTCATCGACTTCATTAGTCATAAGAAACCATTTAACAATTTACTATGAAAACAGCCATAAAATAAATCTGATAAACAATAAATAAAACGCAATTGCTTTGACCGCATTAAAAGACGCCACAGACTGTACATGCTTATTAAATAAACTCAGGGTTTTCTAAAATTATTACAATCCGAGGTCTAAGAGGTTACTGATACTATGCTTACTAACGACACATTACTGACGGAAACTTTATTTAAACGCAATATATTGTATCGACGCGGCTTGTTTAATGCATAAGAGTACGATTTGAATATAACCTTACGACTTTAGATTTATTAAAAAACTAGATGTTAGCAATTTTATCCTCTATTGAATATTCAGTTTTTAAAGCAGTAAATAAGGATAGAATCTTCATACTTTTCAAGCAATGTTTTCATACATTTTGAGAATCCAACTTCTTATAACTTGCGTACGGTTGACTAAACGTAATCTTGTCTAGATATTAAACAAACTCCTTAATATCCCATCATATCCATGTGCAGTGCCGGCTTTATATTAGGCGACCGCCCAGGACTTTTCACAAAAAGGAATTTCCGAAGTCAACAAATTACTAAAAATCTCGCCCAAGGCACTGGGCCAGATGAGTTGGTCACTTAATTTGTCCATATTTTTAATATGTTTACCTATACTTACCGAGTAAATCTTGTTGTGGCAGCCATTTGTATAGCCTCACATTTGAAGGAATGTCCGTTAGGTTCTGTTCTGCGTCCTGCTTCCATAATACTCTCTGCGGCAACCGGCCTAGAGCTTTGACGATCATATGATGGGCTGCGAGTGGCATCTTATTCGTCCTCACTGATGAACCCATGGAAACGTAAACAAAACCTGCTTCGCCAGCGCCAGCTATCCAATCTTCGATGTCCTGTAATAAAGTTTTACCATCAACATTGTCATCACTATATGAATACAAGCCCAATATTCTTTCATAGAATATTTGGGCAAATCAAAACATTTTTTTCTTTAAAACTATGTCCTTGTATAAGGATGTATTTATCCCGAAATATCCTGTCACGGATATGATACACGAGAATTTATTATCAATCAATGAACCAAATATTTATTTCCTTCCTTACCTCACCTTGACATCTAATGTATATTTTATTTTCGTCAAGGAAAAAGTATCTCATTATTCTTATTAAGAGAAAATTATTAAAATAACTTACAGCGTTCAGTTTCTTCGGTTCCTTACAATGAATACAGGCGACTTCAGCTACATTTGGTAAGTAAGGTCTTGGATAGGATACAGAGAAATGTCCATTCTGTAATACAAAGCTGACATTCTTTGCCATATCGTATACATGAGGTATTTGCTGACCGAAGTGTCGACGCAATACTCCTTGTAGTATAGTCATACTAAATCCATGAGCAAATAGGGAACCGACAAGCCAAGCTGAATTCAATGCTCTGTCAACGAATCCCATATTATCTGTGAAAGCTCTACCAAAGAATGGTGTAACGGAAAAAGGAGCGGGACTTCCTGACATACTGGCAGGACCGGAGTAGAAGCCAACTGTGTTAATGTACATGAAGGGTACTTTAAGTCGATAGACCACGCCTAACGCGCATTCCGGATACGCGCCGTCGAGTATGATAAGATCATAGGTTCTTCCAGAACGAAGGAAGGATCTTGTCTCGAAGTCGTCTAGGAACGCCTCACAAGCCTGTTGAAGGTAAAAATTTTAATTACATTTGAGAACTGTATGCTACTCTTGATGTTTTTATCTTCTTTTGCACACGTTAGTTTAGAAACCATGTTTTAAGTAGGAACTGTTTTGAACCAAGATCAATGATCAAATTAAATATTAACTATTATGCATAATGAATTTGAATGCATTATGAATAATTTTGTTTTCAGCTTTAAGATTTATATGGAAGTCCATAATATTGTAATACAATGAATGTTACAAGAGTTCGAGACCTTTTACCTCATATCCATATCTGAGTATATCGTACAGCGGTAGTGGTTCCTCTCCCCTCATGCGGGCTCCCACCAGATCGAAGGTCATGTATCCGCGGACGTAGGAGGCCAGGCCTTCCGGCGCTATCTCCTCTAGACCCGGGATGTGGAAGTCAGGAGGGAACGCACTTATTAACGTTATGTTGTGTCCTCTGGAACAAAAAGTTGTGATAATAGAGTAACAAGAGATTTACAATCATTAATAAACATTGAAATTTTCAATAATAGAACATTGCTAATTGAAAAAGACTTTTTCATTGGTTGTTAATATCTTTAAAATCTGTACCTTCTGATCATGCCTCTAGCGAGTTCCCAAAAGGGCATTTTATGTGATTTGGTGCCGCCCATTGTGATCATAAGTATATCACTCCCGCACACCGATGCTGCCAGCAGTATTGGCAGCCAAAACACCGGCCACCGCGACCCCTGTTGGCAAAAATCACACATTCATTAATTGAAAGAATTATACTTGAAAAAAATAGGTTCTTTTTTGCTACCTTTGCATTCATGATTCAAATAAAATAATAAATCGTGAAATAATTTTTTTATATCGATTTTGGTACATAAGTGTGCAAAATTTCAAATCAATTTGATGCATTGCTGTAACTCGATTTCCATTAGATTTTTAGATATAAAAATATACAAGTGATAACAATGTTCATAGTGGAGTATACAAGTTTAAAATTTACTCAGACAATGCCGAAGCAAACAATTTGTACAAAAAATAACTGTCTGTTCATTTGTTTTGATCTTTTTATAAACAACACAATACGTTTCCCACGCTTAAGAAAGAAGTATTTCACTAATCTCTCGTACTTGCTGTATTGTCTAAGAAAAAGGTTTTTTATAAGAATATTAGTTACAAGATTCGCTTTTAGGCGTAGGTATGGTTCACTGAGTACACAATAACTTTATTATCTTTCTTGTCGTTAGTTTTTTCCCATTTATTCAGTCTTGAAAAAGCCATAACTCATTCTTCCTTTAGTTAATATCGCGTCTTGATAACTTAAGATCTACCCTGACATCCTAACCGTAGCACATCACAGACGTAAGACTTTTTCATAATATGACATTATCTCTATTTTTCATTAAGAGTAACAAAAGAATCTCGATATGTTTATACAAGACCTAGCTTTTGTTCTAAATGTGGCAAATTTAATCGAGACTCGCTAATTCCTTCTGGATATATCTTCTAACATCAATCCATACAAATAAACTTTTGCATTAAAACATGCAAGTAAGCAAGATATAAAATAAGATGATTTTGTCTCTGATTTTCATAGAGTTGAGCTGGTTGTAATTTTTATTACAAAAGATAGCATAAAGTCTATTCATAGTGCAGATATAATAGGTAACACAGAAACTCATTTTTACTTACGTAATCATAGAACGCGCAAGTGGAAATTATAATTTGAAATCTATCGTAATATTATTGCAAAGTTTATTCTCACTTACGAAAGAAATGTAAAGTTATACTGATTGCTATAAATACATTTATTTTATTATATTAAAAGGATAACGTTGTAATAATAATGTATTTTCAGATAAATAATTTTACGACGTAAAAATAAGTAGAAATATCTAGCGCCTGATTTAATTAACATATTGCAAATATTGTTTAGATTTTATTTGCATCGCAAAGGAATTAATTCCCTCCATTTCTATGAAGTAACAAAATACGAAGATGGTGTCATTGAATGTCATTGAACAAATCATGTTTTTTAAAGGTCCTTTCTTTACAAAGATATTTAATTCTTGTCTTTCCTTCAGTATTCAAAGAAATCTAAACAAGTTTGCAATAGTTAGTTCATTAAGTTTCTCGATAAACTGCATTTTGTCGGGCAATTGCACGGTCCGCCGGAGAAGTGTGTTGTAACATTTGATACTTCGATCTTTTCGTCGAGTCATTTCGTTAAATTCTATGAACATTCGCAATCGAGAGTTATCGGTGACGTTGGAAATTCAATGAATCTTTAAATGTTTACTTGTAACTTAGCTTATATGTAAAAGACTTTTATTTATTTATTTATTTATTTAGAATAGGAAGCCAACGTATCACATGAAATAAGTTATGTTTCATGAAGGAAAACAATTATAACTAAAACACAATATCATGGATACACTTACAGGCTAACACAACATTATGATAAAAAAAAAAAACAAAAGTTTTACATGACAAAGAATTAAAAACTAAAACTAAACTCACTACAAAAAAGAAAACATAATGTATACTCCTAAGGTGTGTGATCTTTACTGAAATAATAATTTTTAATTTTAGACTTGTTTGTACAAAATCTTAATCAAGTCAATTTTAAGATAAACCTTTCAATATTATATGGAAAATTATTTCTTTAGTTACAATGTTACCGTAGAAAATAATATGATATACTTGTATCAAACACTAGCTTCCGACCTCCACTCCGTCCGCGTGGTACTAAAAGTACCAAAAGTAAGTATCCTATGCGTTCTTCTAGACTATTCTCTACATCTAAGCTAAATAAATTTCATCGAGATCCGTTCAGCAGTTTAGGTTACAAACTCTAACAAACATCCATCCATTTAAACCTTTGCATTTATAATATTACTAAGATTATATTAGATTTATAAACTATGATCGCTTGTCCATCTGTCTTCTCCTGTAGTAAAAGATTACGCAATAATTTCTAAAAATAAGTAATTTCTTATAACAATAAAACAAATTACCTGATATTATTCTAGCGTAAAAATCTCAGCAAATGTTTACCCAAGAGAATGTAACACAGCGAAAATTTAACGAGTGACATCGAGTGTAATGCGATAGGACACTGTGTAAAGATAAGACCCCTAACCAAAGGTCAACACTGACCTTCACATTCTGACCCTTTTCACTACGTTATTTAAGGATGTATTTAAAAGCAATCTACCAATAAACCTAAAAACAAAGACCATGAATTCCTGCCTTCTTCCCTGTCTAACATACGGTTGCCAAA